AAAATGCTCCTACACATGTATATACCTCTTTCTGATGTATCAAAAAGCAGCAAGAACAGTGGCACTCTCCACAATGATGCTAAAAATCTTTGGCTACTTCTCACATTTTGAGTAGGTGGCAAGACCTCTGTTAATATCACCTGGGACAAGGACCTCTGCAACAACAGGGAGGAAAGGGACTATAGTATGCGGTGAATCACCTCCCATCTTTTATTCATTCTGCAGCATACAGCAAAGAAGCAGCAGCTTTTTGCTGTGAAAGCTGGACACAGGAAACGGGTCCATAAACAAGTTTTGCCCATGGCACTGCACGACAGGATTAGCAACAGTTTAAGTATACTTCTCTGAGTCAGCACACACAATCTGACCTTTATCTCTCCCTAAGTACTTAAAAAAAAAACCCCCAAACTTTCTCATGTGATTCCTAGCTAGGCTGCTGTCCAAATGAGGTTTGGGAGAAAGATCACAAAGTTTACGCCTGCATCTTCTCTGCAGGTATAATAGGGATCCAGCAGCCAAGTCACTTGGGAGGCATCTTTTTGGTAGTCAGAGCAATCTGTGTTTTCTCCTTGACTTTCCCTGTGACAAGAATTCTTGCACTTCTTCCAGCAGCTTTTTCAAAAAGCGGTTAGTCCCACATCACACAGAAGAAGTGTTTAATAGCTATATTTAGCTAACACAACTAAAAGGTATAAGCTCTCTCCCACAAAGGACCAATGTTTTTGAATCTCCGCTCCTCATAATGAATTAGAAAGGACCAAAAATCTTAAGATTGTTCCTGGGATTTTTTAAGAGACTTGGCACTGGTTAAAAGTGCTCAAGTAACTTATCAGGAGCTCACTATCTGTGATTCACTTTCATGTTTTTTTTTTCAAATTATCGAAACATAGACAAAGTCCAATAAAACTAGGTAGAATATGTTCCAGCAACACTGATCTAAGCTAAGCTTCTTCATTCAACTACAGGCCAGCCTCATGAGAGTTTTTTCCCCACTTATTTTTATTTCAAACTGAAAATAATCTTTTTCAAAATCCAAATCAAAGCTTGAACTCCACAATTAACTATAATAATTCTGGCAATCTTTCCTAGTCCATACAGACCCATAGATACAACCACCTGGGAGGAAGATATTGGTTCTAAATCCATACCTAGTTCAAGGGTGACTTTTTTGGAGATAATGGAAAAATTATTTAACTTCTTCAGGACCACAAGAAATTAATGACCTGACATGTCATTCTACTTCTCTGATAAAACTCTGAAGATCAAGGAGTATCTCCACTGTTGACTTTTCAAATCGTCTGACAACCAGGTTACAAGTGGGCTACTCAGTAGTATCTCGATCTTTCCTGGCCTACAGAGAAAGAAAAACTCTGTAAGATTATGAAAAAAGTCCTTGCAAGAAGGGACTAACACAATAGATTTAGTCTCTCTTCTTTTAAAATATAACCAGCTGGGTTCATATAGCTCATTTAACTCTGTGATCACTCACCTATCAAGACAGGGTAAGTTAATCCAACACTGGTATCCAAGAAGTCTATTCAACCTGACCTGAGCCAGGGAATTAACATGGGGAATATAAAAAAAGCCCCTGAAAACCGTTGTCTAGGAAGTTCTCAACACTAATGCAAGGAAGTATGTACACATGTGCAGCAGAAACCCACACAGAAAATACCTGCAATAAAACTTAATAAAATGCAAAAGCTAAGTTTTATCTTGTCCATATTTGTGTAGAGTTTACAGTAGGAGCACATTAGCTGAGAAAACAGAAAAACGTAGCACAAACCGGGAGTAGCAGTGACAAGAGCAAGGCAGCTGTGACCAAGACTCAGTATACTCCACTGTTCAAAAGGACCCTGACTTCTGCAATGCACACTTTTCACTTCTCCACAGGAAAGCAAAAAGTCAGTCAGCAAAAATATCGAACCGGTCAGCAGGTCAGTTTTTAATTAATACTTTAATTAATATCAAGCTTTCATGGAAGGGGCCTAATGCATTTGATAGAATGCCAGAATAAAAAGGAAAAGCTACTATTGATAACATTGACTATTCATGGCCCCTAGACAGCCAGCTATCACTGTTCAGCTCAGGTGGCGAGGACGCACAGAGCCAGATGTTGAAACTTCATCTTTCCACATCCTGGGCTACCACGTGCAGTCCCATCTCTCTTAGCTGCACTCACAGCAACAGGGAATGAAGTCATGAGACAGAAAACAAAGTTGTGTTATGGGTGTCCCCAGCACAGGATATTACACCAAAAGGAATCCCAGGATCGCCTGCAGCTGGGGCCCCATGGAATTACCCTGGCAATGCTGCAAGATGGGTGCCCATTTTCATAACCCTCCTTCTGCAGTCCTACTCAATCTTTCTCACGTAACATTCCTCTCATCCTTGAAGTGACAGACATTTCCCAAGGACCTGAAATGCAACAGTGCAACGTCTAGCTCTCGCATCTTTGCTAGTCATGCCATCAAAGATCCACGACAGCAGCTCTAACGAGCCAGAAGAGCCCTCATCTTCAGAGGGCAGCAGCAAAAAAAGAGCATGTTCCTCCCTTGAGGTGATCCCCTGTGAGGTGAAGGCAGCAGGGAAAGGTAGCGGCAGCCAAGTCGCAGAGGAGATGATAAAATGTCAGACTCCTGGCAGTACAAAATGGCAGCTGAACCCTGGCAAAACGCCAAGCTGTTCAAACTGTGAATTGCAGAGTACACGGGGCCATAATTATGATTAGCATAATAAGAGAGGGGTACAACAGCTACCTAGTTACTCTGAAGGGTCATGGAGAAATCATAACAAAGCAAAGTTTTAAGGAGAGACACAAAAGAAAACAATGACGTAGCTGCTCAGTGGGTTTTACCCGGAGGTTCTTCCATGCGTGAAGTGTGGCCCGGCAGAAAGTACAAAGACTGTTTAAGAGATCAGGCTTGAATCAAGAGCGGGCGGCCGTGCCTGCAGAACTCGAACGGCTCCACAACATATAAAAGATCATATGAAAAGTGTGACACTGAAGACAAAGGACCTGACAAGAAAAATAGGCTGTTTGTGTAAATGTGAATAAAACCTGGGCTCAATAGAGTCAGTCAAGATTTTTTTCCTTTCTAACCAGAAAAGACTGTTTTCTCTTTTCCTCAAATGAAGCAGAAAGAAAATTTAACAAACAAAATCCGAATATTCTGATATTTGCATTTTTTCATTTTGAATGTCATATAAACAATATTTACAGATCCATGGCTTCATACAATTAGCCAGCTGTCTGGATGAAATTAATCAGAGTTGTAATAAAAGTATTAAACATTGAGTTTCAGACTTAAAGCTATATGGGTATGAAAAATCTAGATGCACTGTACATCTGGAGGAATTTATAGACAGAGCTGAAGTTTAAAATGAAAAGTTCTCTTTGCAAATAGAAAGATCAGACTTTTCACTGGGATCTGAATTCCACCGAAGACACTGAGAATCTTTATATAAAAAAAACCCCAAAATCCTTATTTCGTAGGCATAACCTGGTCCCCCACGAACAGTAATTTTACTGTTTACACATTGTCACCTGCCTTTTTCTCCGTGCTGCTTCCGTTCCTCCTATTGACCTTTTACATTACAACAGACATCAAGAGCCCTGTGCATATGAAAAATGCTTCTCCCAAGGCAAGGTCAACTCCTTCCCATTCAAGACAACCATATGCTGTATCCCAAGTGTCATCCATCAAGACAACCTACATTACAAGCTAATACTGCCACTAAGATTCTCCATCTCATTTGTTATCATACGATATCAGACAGAATATCAACTGAAGATATACCTTTTGGATTTTAGAGGCTAATGCAGTTGGACTGGTAAAAACCCTACCCTTGTATCTTCCCCTTGCTTTCAAACATCATTTTTCCCCGTCTAAAATCTACCAAGTCATGGATTTCTTCTATCTTTAGGAAAAAAAACCACAAACAAACCCAACAAAGCACAACCCTTGATATCTGTCTAACTGCCTTCTTTCTAAGAACCTCTCTCTACATCTACAAGAATGAAACCCACCTTTAGAATGTAATAAACTTACACCTTCCAACCGTAGGCATCCCCATAAGGGAGATCATATTCTTCTTCTCAAGACACCGAAATACTTCTACTGTCGTAAATCCTTCCTGACAGCAATATCTGACAAACACGATTTTAAATTATCCTTTTTCTAGCTTAATCACAGCTTTGCTATGTACACCAACAGACTTTGACACGCACTGGTGCAAGCTAAGCTCAGTGACATATACCTAAGGCACACATCTTAATTCTCATTCGCAGTGCTCATTGTAAACCATCATAACACCTAATTGAAACAATTTATCCTGTAAAAGTTCATCGATCAGTAACATATTTCAGAACACAAACTCAGGGAAACACACACTGATTCTCCACATTAGGACAGTTGCTTATTAAACTTCTCATCTTCTTGTTAACAAACACTGTCGTTTAGATAATTTTAGAACATTCATTTATTCCCAGGAATAGGTGAGTATCTACTGCAACATACTTATAAAGAAAAACGAGAATCATCATCTCTCTTGCCCAGTAATTTTGCGTAAATGACTATATACACGGTAGTGAGAGGAAAAAAGATACACTACTGTTAAATACTGTTAGGACAGAAGAAGCAAGAGAACATACTCTATTTGCTTTTCAAATGCAGATTCTAAAATGCTGACTTGTAGTTCGGGATTTTGCTACTGTTCACAGTTAAATGCATTACAATCACAGACATGTCAGCAAGTAGTGGAAAGCAAGATCTTTGCTTTTTAAAAAATTGTACTTTGATAGCAATGAAAAAAAAAAATCACAACTGGTCATTCTGTATTAAGTATCTAACTGTAATGAAAGGACAAACCCAGGAGTTTTTGTAGTTTCCAGCTCACCCATCCTGTAACTCAGAAATAACGCAAACAAATCAACTGTCAGACTGAAATGTTCAAACTAGTAATCCTGACTTGCTCATTTAAAGAAAAGGTAAGTCACTTACAGAACTGGATGAACAATCAGCTCTGGACTATACGATTTGATTACTGTTGCTGCATCTTTGGTACAAAACACATGGGATAAATCTGCACCCTAAAAAAGAAAATTTGCAAATAGAATTATCAAATTTATACTTAGTAACAACTTCATCATTCCAAAGTTTACTCAGTGAATAATTCACCTGAATTCTTACTTCTCAGTAGTTAAAGCAAACTTTACTACTTTTTCTATTTTGGCTTAGACTACCATGCAATGTTTTGGAGAAACTTTTTTGTACCTAACTTCCAGTATGGTTTTCTGTTTTTCACCAATGGGATGACTGAAAAGATAGATCTTGAACCTTTACTCACTTGAAAAATGTTTCTTATTTGCAGATGAGTAAAGACTAAAATGTCACACGCATGGTAAGAAGGCAGGCAAGAGAACACAGCTGAACAAGAGATAAGCTACATCAAAGAGGAAAAATAGTTCTGTAATACACTTGCAGAATATAGCTATGGCAATCTACAAGTACATTTCCAGTCCTACCATTTTTACTCAATGGGCCAAATCCGTACCAGATAAAGGCTGGCACAATTTCACCAACACCCCTTAAATTAAATAAACATTAAAGCTGAGGAGTTTAGCCTCAAGCTTCTGTTATCAACTCAAAAAATCATACATACACATAAAAATTATGTAAGCAGTGACCAGAAAGCCTGATCTTTTATCTGCCTCGCATATTGAAATTTCCCAAGGTTAACAAAGTGTCTCCTCTGCTGTACTACTATACATTTAACATTTCAAGCTACTAAGCAACACAGATATTTGATCCTATGACTCTTTATATGCAGGTGTAATGATCTGAGACCAAGTGACTTCAATAGGGGACCTCCTAGCATGCTGCTGTATTTGCCCATAGTGAACAGAAAGCTGAGTGGCCTTAATATCTTATATAAGATCATTAAATAATATCATTTCAGTTTTAAAACCTTGAGGGACGGCATCCTGGGAGGGTGGGGGGTGGAAATACCTGAATTGGTTACCCACTTAGTGAAACAAACCTTCAAAAAGAAAAGCATACGCAGTGAACTGAGAGTACTGACACACTATATATAGAATACTGAAATGTATATGTATTATGTAAGCATGACTCCTTTACATTTGAATAATCACCACTGTATTTATGTAGTCTGCAGTATATACTTTTTTAGCCAGTTAATAAGTCACTAAAATAAGGAAGTTCACACTTCTAGAGGAAAAAAGCTTAGAAAATACTTCTGTTAAAGATCATGATGTAAATAAAATATGCTATTAAAAATTAAATTCAACCAACAATCTTTAAACCTACAGCACATAAGAATTTTACTAGCCTAAAGCTGTAGGCTTTGAAAGAAAGTTACTTCCTCCAACGTACTTACCAGGTTCAGAAAAAAATTCTGAAGGACTGACTGCAGCACTAAAAACATAACTTTAAACATAAACCTAAAGTTACCTTATTGTTCACTTTTGGAGAAAATATTTCATCAAGTTTTGAAATTTCCTATTCAAGTCTCTGACAAAACAGTTCTCCCTCTGAAATTTTCAATATTCTGACCTATGTCTAACTTGACCTTATACAGAGAGAGTATTTACAGAAAACATAGCAAATGACACATATTTACAAACTATTTCTACAAATCCTGGACTAAGGATTTTCTTTATTTAATAGAAGATCTTTTAGAACTCAAATTTCATGCGCAGCACAGAACGAATGCTTTTTAAAAATGGCACTTAGCCAAGATAAATGATGAAAAGTTCATTTTGGATTGGTATAGAAGAACACGTACCACTTTGAGAGCTGTAATTGCAGCAAAATATGGTGCTCCAGTGTATCTAAAATGAAATACAATTTAAGTTAGGAAACAGAGTCATGAGATTAGACAATCTGGAAATCAACCTGCCTTAATGAAGTCCCAAATTCAAGAGCAAATTTTAAAAAAAATGCTCGTTTGCTGTAAGAGACAGATAAAATCTTGCTATACTAAAGCCAATCTCAAACCTTCCTTTGATTTCAAAGGCACAGGATTTCACCTTACCCACCTGATCCTTTCATAAAAATATTTATAAAGATCATGACATAAAAAAAGCAAACTCTTCTCAGACAACCAACTTAAAAGTTGAGAGACAAACCAAACAAGAGTCGAGCACTGTTTGCAAGCCAAATCTGGGATCTGTGACCTGGATCAATCCCATCTGGTTTTAGATGCTTAACTGAAGTGCCTAAATGGTGATTCCAGTTGCCCTGAATTCTCTTTATGAAGACTGAAGAGAGAGAGAGGGACAGAATCACCCTCCAGAGGCACCTACTTCTGCCAAGAGGTTAAGAACCCAAGACCACAACAGGAAAACTAACTCCTGGCTAATCAACCCAGCTATAAGACAGCACCTTTTTGCTCTTTATAAAATGTTTATTAATGGTAAACGTCCAACAGCAGATCTCTCTTATAGGAAAAAGATGCCATCTCTATTTCAAAAGGGGAAAATGAAAAACAAGAGGGTGTAATGGCTCATTCAAAGTATTGTGCAGATTACTGAGCGTGGCCAGGAAAACAATAGAGCCTGTTTTATTCCTAGGTCAGTACAGCATTTAACTGATTTAGGCTGCATCTCTTTTTTCCCTATTTCTGTTACTCCAGAACATAAAACAAGGTATTGACAGAATCCAATAAACACTACAATTTATCAAAACAAAAAGCACGCAGTAAGAAAATATTCTATTCCTGATTTAAGAGACCAAGTTCCCAAGATACCAAAATATAAAAAAAAAATTCAGACGTGTCACTATCTTACTCTATTCTATCTTATGCTATTCTACCTATTCTAGAACTTCATCATGCAATGGGAAAAGACAAACGCTGAAAGCAGAGGGAGTTTGGTGGTCAAAAAAGACAGAGAAGGTAGACACAGACACAAACAGTGTTGTAAGTTTCAACCACATTCACTACCAAAATTTTGCAACACAACTGCAGGGAAACATATGCTTTCATAAGTATGTATGGTCATGATGACAGACTAGTAAAGCTCTCTGGAAAATACTCATGTTTTAAATGTAAGGTGAGTTTGAATGGTTTCTACAAGTACTTATGACATCCTCAAACTCCCTCAGAAACAAAAATTAAATTTCTATTTAACTTACTCTTGACATCCTCCAACAATGCCTATACGCCCATCTTGACCTTTATGCCTTTTCCCTGTTAGAGGAGGGATAACGTTGCGCACCAGTTGAAAAATATTCTCCATATCCTTTAGAGAGTGTGTTCTGTGCAGTGAAAAAGATCTTTCTATAACTGAAAAGAAGAAAATAAGTGTTAAAATATATTCCTCTTTAAACTACCATCAGAATTTCTTTTAAGCACTCGCAAACACTAATAAAATCACTCAAAGATATACAAAGTGACACACTTCTAAAAACCAAATGCTTCGTCACTTAAAGGCCTTTAAACAGCAAGTAACTAGGGAAGGTGATCGTTTTAAAAAATAATTTACGATCTGATGCGGAGAATATTCCCACCGACTGCTCACAGTCCCAATTTAGGGCTCAGGTACAGAAAGCAACAACAGCCCAGAATAGTTATATGAACATTTTGTAACTAGAAATATCTTCTTAGTTCAGCCTGAAATCACTTCCATAATTAAGCTCAACTGAAATAGGTACACTTAGTAAGGACTAAACACATCCAGACACAGAGCAAGCACAGAGCAACTAAAACCACATTTTAAACGTACACCCTACCTTATTTTTCGCTTCCCCTTAAAGACTTCCACCTCTTAGCAGAATCAGGGCCTATCTCACTGCTTTTTTATTTTGGCAGGTGGTTACAAACCATAATGGAAGTCTTTCTGCAAAACTATAATCCAACACACTAGATGCAAATGTTACAAGTATCACACAAAGATAATTTTCAGCTATAATACAACCACAGATCTCTGATGCAAAGCTATATGTCAAGCTACATATTAAAACAATTCCACACTCAGAAGGCTACATATTCAAATTACTGCTTCAAAAGACTACAAAAATTCAGAAGAAAAAAAAAGTATTTCAACAATTACAACTAAAGAGAATTAAATTGTTCACCTAACATGGGACAAATTTGAAGATCAGTACTTCTATCAATGATGTGTTAACTATAAATTGCAGTAAATACACTAAAAGAGTAAGTTGTTCTATTTCAACAAAGCTCCTCATTAACTGTACAATTCTGTTCAGAAGAGCAGTTTATTTGAATGTTAATGTTAGTCTCCTAGACCATAGCTGTGCTTACTTTCTCTTTTACAGATCTTCTAAAAAAGCTTTCAAGGAGCTGCTATATAGTAATACATAATTATGTGAAAAAATAACTCCCACGATACTCCTTATTTTTAGCTGTATAAAACTTAGTAATCCTACCCCCAACTCCAACTCCAAAATCTAGAGGGGAGGAAGGGGGGGGGGAAAAAAAAAAAAAAAGGAAAAACTGCTCCAGAATTTTTTGACATAATAACGAGGTTAGAAATGTAATAAACAAGGAAACTCCACATCTGTGTGCTATCAGCAGAAAGCATCTTTTTCTCCATCTTCCACAAAATCTAAACCTAAACCAGACGCGCTAATCTTCAGTAATAAAATGCTTTAGTGTTCAATAATGATAAATACTCCTGGCTGATCTCTTGCTTTTAAAATCCTTCTATAATACAGGCATCCCACTTCTACTGAGATAACAAAAAAAAAAAAAAAAAAAAAAAAAGAAAAAAACCCATTCTGTTTTGGAATATGGCCAAAATAGCATTGCAGTGACCCAGAGGAGAACAAAATGCTCATCTCCTCTGGAAATAGGACAGATTATTTTCTTTAAATCACACTTCATATATTCACTAGTTTTCAACCACACAAGAAATATAATATAGCTTGTAACCCTTAAATGGCAATGTCGTCAAGAAGGTCCCCTGGTTTTTTGTTTAGATGTAAATATAAAGTGATTGCTTAATAAATGGGGAGAAAACAGAGAATGATGCAAAAAGTGATTCCTAATAGAGCCCCACTTACCTACAGAAACACTAAGGCATAATTAGCTATGAACAACTGAAATCGTAATTCCTTAAAAGATGTGCTGCCTGAAGCGTTATTTTCACATTTTATTATAAACGCTTTGTTACACCTTCACCAATTAAAAGGTTAGAATCCTGAGTTGCTCTTGCCACAGCTAAACATATATAATGCATTTCTGCACAGTATAATATGACTGCACACCTCTATGACGAAATACAGCAAGAAAAACTTAGTTTCAAGTCTTTACAGATAATGAAGCTCTTTCAGCAAAAAACCTTTCAGAAGTAATGGTAAGGCCTTGTAAGTACCATCACCCGACTCTAGAACCTCCAATGATTCCCTAAGGGATTTTCCAAAGCACTTCAGGTTTCCTTTTAATTTAAAAGTGAAAACAACATTTAAAACACAGAATCCATATGTATGTCATAATTTATCTACAAAAGTCTGCTGCCATTGAGGAATGCTACATATCAACTATCCAGTCAAAAAGAAACACAACCAAGTCGGCCAGCCTAAACCTTCAACAATCCTAACCATCCAGTCCCCCGTGTGTTTTACAGGGAAACACAGTATGTAATGTAGAACTGAAAAGGTTCCAAGATTCTCTCAGGAATCAGAGAATGCCCTTTACGATCTGGCACGCAGATTATTATTCAACACTGAGGCTGAGTGGTTTTTCTTTCTTTTCAAACCATGTTTTTCTTCCAAGCAGTGTGAAATTCAGAATTAAAACAGAACGAGACTTGTGCCTTTTCCATGCGGCAGGCTACAACCACCGAGCCCCGAGCCGACTCTGGTTTCAGCACTGACAAGAGTATCCCTGTTTTCCCCCTGCCCACGCAATCTACCTCCACGTACAAAGAGACTATGATAAAGATAAATGACACGGAGCCACAGATCCCGAGAAGTCTGTTAATGAATGCTAATATCCGATTATCAGCTTCTGGCCCACACGTAAGGTACAGAAGGAAAAGTCTGTGCATAAATACCAATTCTAGAGTTATCGCTTTGCCTTGTTCTTTAAAATAAATTCAGACCCCCGAAGAATTTATACATGAACTGTTATAGAGTAAAAATATATGCCAATATTTTCATCTTCTATTATGCCTACAACAGTAACACGATATTTAATTAAAAGATAAGATTCAGAATTTTGATTTAAAGAAATTTATTTTAAAGAAGCTGGATTTTAACATTTGACTTACTTCAGTGTAGGCAAAACTCCACTCTTTTCCCAACCCTGAAAAAACACATGCACAGCCTTAACTTCACATACTGGGTTAGGCCTGTTAACTTCAACAGCAGCAGAATTTCCGCTACAAGGTACCCAGTGTTTCCAGGCAGCTTTCAGCAAATGCGCCACTTGCCTTTTACATATAAAACTTCTCCTAACTTCACTTTATAGAGACGTGAACGTGGAAAGAAATCCCCAGTGTTTATGGGGTTTGAAAAGTGTGATTTTGCTCATTACAATTTGTTGTAACTAATGTATCTACATTAAATAGTAAGTACAATTGTACGAATGACATTGTAATTTCATTTGATATCAGACAGACACCTTCACCACAATATTAAATAATTCCAACTAGCTTTTATTTTCAAAAGCTACTTACTACCAGTGCTTTCACACAGGAGTTTAAAATAAACGAGCTTTTGTTTATGCTATAGAAGGAAGTACCTATCGGTGGAGAAAGTGCTGCTGTCATAGCATTATAATTAAAGTTATCCCCATATGAACGATGGTTCGCTCTCTGAGGTGGACTCGCTGGTATAGATTGTGACCTTTGTGATACTGTAGAAGAAATTCCTGCCAACATCTGTCCCAACATCTGTAACATCTGGAGCTCTCGAGCATGCTCAGCTTCCCGACGCTTGTCCTCAATTTTGAGCCTCTGCTCTTCATATCTGTAAAATTTCTCTTCTGTATCCACACTCTGCTGCAGGAATTTTTCCATCATTTTATCCAACGTTAAATTTGCATGGCGTTTTTTTGATCTTTTGGGCTGACTGAGAGGTGGGGTAATAGTTGGAGCATTCATTTCTTTAAAGCCTAAAACAAGAGGACAGACAATTATTTTTCTTAAGTCCTAAGAAGAAAGCAGGAAAAAAAAAAAAAAAAAATCTCCCTATGAGATGTGGACCTAATACATCACGAAGTTGTTACTCTTTTTCAATGTGAATTGTAATTATTTCAGATATTTTTATTCCAGAGCACCAAAGCAAAACCACAAGCTTCTGCAAAGTTATAAAGGTAACATGAAAATTACACAGAGGCATCTTTTAATTGTTGTAGTACTAAACTTCAACAATAGGAGTCTTTTTGATGTTCTAAAAAGGTTTAAGTGAAGGCTATTAAATACTATAGCCTCATTTGTGTATTGCAGGTAATTACATTAATCTAAATTGAGTTTCAGTCTGTTGGCATTCCGGATTTGCATTTCAAAAGAACATTAGTGTAAACAATTCTTTGATGGGGTTTATGTATAAAAAGAAGGTTGGTTAAACGTCAACCAATTGGCTGATTCCTCAGTGATGTCAACTTCTGAAGACAGGTTCATGTTTGTATAAAAACCACGGTGTTAATCCAGATTTAAAACAAACAAATAACACTGCCCTCCCCACCTCCACAATACAAATACGGAGTTGAGGGTAAAGAACAAGAAAGGAAGGGACAAGGCTCTATCTAAGGGCCGCTTCTGTCCGCAAGCCTGCTAAAGTTAGAAGCAAGCGTTTCTGAAACAACTCAAGCAATTAATTACGTGAAAGCTCTCCCCTAGCTTTCTGGCCTATCTGCAACAATAAGCAGATTTTTCAGGTATTATCGTCATCATCGTTTTAATACCGATTAACAAAACCGCACACGGTCTGCAGAGAATGGGGAAATCCTCCAGCGAGAAGGATGCCGATTTGCTTGTACAGCACTACCTGACACTTTGTCTCGATAATCTCTGCGCTAGTTTTCCCTTGGTTTCCCGCTGATAAACACCGGTAAAAACTCACGACGGTCTCCGTCCCCCAGCATCTCCCCCTACCCGGTTTTGCAGCATTTCCCACCCCCCGCTA